GCATTGTACGACGTGTACGAGATCAGAGGTGTGCGGCTGTGAAGCGAATGGGATATAAAGAACAAAGCATCATTTTCGAATGGATCTCGTATTATCCTATGCACGACATTATTTGTACGACTTCAAATAACGCACAACAAACGGCGGCTGTCGTATACGACTAAAGTGCGTCGTACGTACCTCTTGGCTGGGCATAAAGGTTATTTGATTTCGCAGGACGTGTTCGTAGCAGGCCGGCGTTACGACGCAAATGGAAAAATTCGTACAGGTATCCCCGGCCGCAAGTACGGCAGCATCATCCTGCCTATCAACCTCAGTGTCCGCCACCGCCGCCGCCGCCGCCGCCGTTATGCGCTTGCTGCCGCCAATGTCGTTTTCCAGTACCTGCTTGTGCCGTAGCCGCAGCCGCTGACGCCGACGGTATCCAAAACCCCCCGGCGACCACACACCGCCGTCGCCGCCGCCGTCGCCGCTGTCTCGTCCTCCGGCGGTCGTCCTGTACGGCCATCCCGTCACACCGCCGCCGCCGCCGCTGCCATCAACTCCATCTCTCTCTCTTTTCCCCGCCACTCGGTCGTCCACCCCTCCCACGTTACCTTCTCCCTCCGCCGCCGCCGCGCCGTACGCGTTGCTGCTAATGCCGTTCGTACTGTTCGTGCCGTACACACCGTACGGCGGCATGAACATGCAATGGAAGCTGGCGGGCATGTTTGCGGAGGGGCAGATCCGAAAGCGGGGATCCCGGGGGCACGCCAGGGTTCGTGCCAGTACGACAGCCAGGCCCCGTACTTCCGGCACGTCGGGCGTCAGGATGAGAGACGCCCGGCCGCCGTGGGAGTGAAATGTGGCAGGGCCTGGGGGGGATATACGACAGATACCGTACGGAAAAAGACGTAACGGCTTTCTGATGCCGTATCGATTACATCCATTCATAAATGCCGTACTGCCGTACATACCGTCGTACGGCTCGGCCCACGATCTGGATTCCAGCCGTACCGGTGGCGCCCCCAGCGACTCCGCGTGCGGGAAAGGCTTTATGTAGTACTTTGGCAAGTACATGACCAGGAAGAATGAGACGGGAAGGAGTACCTGACCGGGGGGGGGGGGCGCGGGGGTTGCCGGGGTTTTGGGTTTTGCGCGCGGGGTCCCAATTATACATATTATGTATACATGTATATATGTATATTATGTATATATATATATACTGAGAAATGCCGGCGCTTGAAATACCAACTACCGTACGGTACGATGGGGGACGGGCGCTAGGGGGGCCCTGGGGGAGGTGAGACGGCTCCTTGTTTGAGGCCCAACCATGGGGTTGCCAAAACAGGAAAGGAGGGGAATTTCATTTCACGGGAGGGGTAACGAAATGTCGGACTGACGTGGCGCACGAGGAGGCTGTGGGGAAAACCGAGAATAGGGTGAAGGGATCCGGGAATCGAATCAGGGTTGGGAAGTAGAAGATTGGTAGGAGGGGCGGAGAGAGGAGATTACGAGACGGGGGTGAGGCGAAGGCAAGAAGAACCCTGAGCATGGTGGGAGCATTAACCGGGGGATATTGAGAAGCAGGAGGAGGAAGAGGAGGAGGAAGAGGAGGAGGAAGAGGAGGAGGAAGAGGAGGAGGAAGAGGAGGAGGAAGAGGAGGAGGAAGAGGAGGAGGAAGAGGAGGAGGAAGAGGAGGAGGAAGAGGAGGAGGAAGAGGAGGAGGAAGAGGAGGAGGAAGAGGAGGAGGAAGAGGAGGAGGAAGAGGAGGAGGAGGAGGTGGAGGAGGAAGAGGAGGAAGAGGAGGAAGAGGAGGAAGAGGAAGAAGGCGACAGAGACAGTAATATTTACGGAGCTAGAAGGTTTGGAAAGGGATTTGGAAGGAATTTGTTATGGCGATGGTGGAGTGAAGGTGGAACGTGTGTCTCGACCGCGGGGGAGATAGCGGTGTGTGGGGGGAAGGGTTTTTGCCATCTTCTGTCCGAGTACTCCAATGTCGGAACCGAATCCTCACATTTACCCTTTGGGATGTTGGGTCTGCGAGTCGCGTTCGCTTCCCGCGGCTTCCCGCGGCTTCACGTCGTCTTTCCGGTTCTAGCACGGGCCATGTCTATTCCCATCGGTCCAACCCTTTTACCAGCTTTGCGGCAGGAAGAAAGGGGCGCACCTGCAGTATCAGGCCTGCGAGACCGCCGATACCCAGCAAGGTACGCCTTCCGCGTGTCTGCAGGATGAAGTTCTTGCGCAGGATGGCCATGAACTGCCTCATCTTGTTTATTGGACGTGGCGCGGCCATGGTTAATGTTTCTGCTACCTTTTGGAAATCATACGAAAATATGCTTGAGCGAAATTAGAGGGTCCACGGACGGCTTGAGGTTGCAGCTTGGGGTTGTACGTAATGACGGTTAGCATACCGTTACAAACCCCCGTCCATAGCGCAAGCAGCAAAGCAATCAGTGTGCAACACGGCTCCCTTAGGTCGTAGGATTCGAATTCCCCACGTAGCAAGTACGTCCGTGGGAGATGGCAAGCCCAGATGAAGAGCCGGAACCGCAACTAAAGTATGAGCTGTTGGGCGGTGACGTGCAAACCATTTTAGAAAAGGAAAAGATATCATGTATGACTGTATCCGAAAAGATCCTGGCTATTGGGACGGAGCAAGGCCGAGTCCACATCCTCGATTATTCCGGCAACCAGGTGACTTTTGGTTTAGACGAGCCATTGGACGCAATCCTGCTGTTTTTAAAAAGGACGAATGATGTCATGCGGCTACCAATAAAATTGGGTACTGAGCAAAGTGGCCTGCTATGCCTCTATATCCAAAGCCCTGGTCGCGTTCCAAACCAGAGTAGCTTCTGCCAATCCTCTTCAGGAACCTTCATATAACCACACTGAACACCTCACTTGCCTCCGTGGTCAGGTCCGTCTGCTCAATCTGCACAAAGCGCGTGTCAATGATCTCTCCTTTGATAAGGAGGCGGAACACATCGCCAGCGCATCAAATGACTGTACCGTCGTGGTGCGTAGTTGTTGACGAGATGGGGGGTGGGAGGAGGGGGATCGAGCAAAGAAATGCACAACGAGCCCTTAGGGCATCAAATCGGTGGACCGCACGAAAGCGAGGTTGGGGCGCCTTTGCCGGCGCCCTCTCCGCCGCCTTCCCCCCCACCGCATAAAACATTAACCCTCCATATCCTTAAGGCCCAACCCATAAATTCGACGAAAGGCGATACTGTCGCCACTGCCCTGAAGAAGCTATGCCGTACGCCGATGCCGTACAATCCCCGTCCGTATGGCTCATCCATTTCAGATCACCAACCTGTACACCGAGCAAACCACACGACACGAGTTCCAAACGCCCATCAAGGTACGACACGTACGAGCAAGGACGAGCAGCAGTACGTCTGCGTCAGGAACAGCGAGCCGGCGCACCAGTATGCCATCCTTGATCACCACCGTGACGGAATAGTAGCGATGTAAATGCAAACATTCAGACAAACGCACACACGCGCGCGTACACTCATGCGCTCCATCCCTTCTTTCCCGCCATTCCTTAATCTGTACGACACAGGTTGTGGCTTTAGATCCTCGCCCCGCCGCCTCCTCTCGGAAGACGTGGCGGGACCTCGTGACGGGGACAGCGGGGGGAGAAGTCACGTTGCATACACAGGTGCGTGTGTGTATGTATGTTTGTATGTATGTTTGTTTGTATGTATGTATGTTTGTATGTATGTGTGTCTCTCTGCCTTTGTTGTAATGGGAGGAGCCGCGAGAAAGAGGCGGTTAGGTTGGCACACGAGCAAGTATATTACCGAAGAAAGTAAATCCGAAATTAATTCGTTCGTTTTGCTGGATATTTTGGATTTTAGTGTTTTTGATGAATATTTCCAATTTTTGCGTTTTGCTGCTTGTTTTTTTGAATTTGCGTTTGCTAAATTTTTGAATTTTTGCGTTTTGCTGAGTATTTTGAGTTTGTTAAATAGATTACGCTAATCTGGGGGAGATGCGGGAAGAGCGAGCTGCAATAGCCGATGTGTGCGTGTGTATTATTTGGCATAGATACGTGTTTGCCTATTATTATTTTTAATTATTTGAAGATTTTATTGTAAATTCATGTCAATAATTTTTTTACATGAAATTATATGTCCCTTTTGACTCAAAGTGCCGTGGTGATAGTACAGACATACATACGGCCATACATAGGCAGGCGGCTGGCAGAGGTTAAGGCCTGACTTCTGCTCCCAGTTGACCCAGTCGACCCGGGTTCAAATCCGCCTGCCGGCTCCTCGGGTGTTTGAGGAGTGATGAAATGGGAGGTGGCCCCCCATCTTATGGACGGTGTAGGACGTGATAATATCAACTTGCGAGCTGACCAGGAACTAAGTTGATGCGCCGTTGATCCGCTAGATTTGGTTGGATGCTGGTGGTGAGTTGCCGAACTCAACGAATACATTCTGAAGTCGGATGGGGTGACGGATTAGGGTGCCCCTCTAGCAGGGGAGAGCAGGGACTGCCCCGGGAAAGGGGGCCGCTGGCGAAGTTAACCACCCTGTAACAACATACGGCCCATGTAGGCTTCTGTTACACTTTGGGGGGTAACGCAGCTGCATGCGGTGCAAAACACAAATACGCACGCGCGCCTCCCTCTTCCCTCTTCGCTTCGCTTGCCTCTTACTGCGTTGAAGTCGCTTGTGTGCCATCCTCATTAGGTCGTCAAAACACGCAACCCTCCCCTCTTTCCCCCTAATATCCCCCCATCCCCGGCCCCGTCCAGGGGTGGCTATCGCGAGCCGACCAGCACCTGGCAGCCGCCGCCTCCCGCGATGTGGCGGCGGGGGGCGTGCTGGCGCTCAAATGGAGTGGGACCCTGGTGGCTTGGGTGTACGACAGTGCCGTGACGGTACGGCAGCTCCAGGGCTGGACCGGGGGTGTTATTAATGCATGACAACACAGATGCATGCAACCTCTTTAACAAATCCTTAAGAAACCCGAAAACCCAAGAACCCGAGCTCCATCGAGGAGAGATGGGGGTTTTGCATTGGGGGAATGTAGGGTTTTGGGGGGGAGGAATGTGTCAATGGTGTGTGGGGGGGGCCCGGGGGGTTGTACGATACGCTGCGGATAACCCAACGGAACAACTGTCGGCCCATGCCATCCTCACCTGCGTAGGTGTACGACACAAGCGCGCATCAGAGCATTCGTACCCTGCGGCGGTACGACCCGCGAGGCGGCCTGCCGTCATCGTCGTCGTCGTGTGCGGCGGCCGTGGCGGCGGCAGCGGCGGCTGGCCAGTACTCTCCCTCTCCCTCGCCGCCTCAGCAGCAGCAGCACCTGAAGCCCACCTCATCCACGCTTTCCGGCGCCGCTCCCACCACCACCGCCACCACCACCGCCACCGCCACCACCGCCGCTAAAGCAACCTCGGTTGCATCCGGAGCTGTAGCAGCTGTAGCAGCGGGTGGCAGCACTAGCAGCAGCAGTAGCACTTCACAGCTAAGGCGCTGCTCTCTCCTCTTCGCGCCGGATTCGCATTTGTATGTGGCTTGGACTGACACGGTGCTGGTGAGTGTGTGTGTGTGGGGGGAAGTCCTGGTGGGGTAATGAGCCGGTGTGTGTGTATGTGTGTGTAAAAGGTGGGAGAGTGTTGTGGGGACGTGAGAGGGTTATTATTGCCGTTTACGAACGTGCAGGTGCAGGACGGAAGAAATCAAGAGAGCAGGGACGGTGGGTAAGAAGCCGAGTTTTTCCATGTTTTTTTCCTCCGAGCCTCCGAGCCTCCGGAATCGCCAGTTAATAGTTAAGTTCGAATCGTTGCCTATTTGGCATCAAAAGATTGTGGCTTTTATATCTTCGGAGTTTAATATCTGCCCCTCTAATACCTCTTCGCCGCAATGTCGTATATTCCTCGCGCCGGGGTGCGTTATCTTCATCTCGGAGCGTCGTATTGCCGTACACAGGTTGCTCGGATCTGGTCGTACGAGAACAACACGGGGTCTGCATCACCTGCGGTTGAGCTGGTGGCGAGGATGCGGCTAGAGGGGGAGACTGTGCTGGTGGGTGAAGTGTCTTTTGATTTGTTTGGAAGGGGGGAAGCATTTGTAGGCATCAAATCAGTTCATGAATACTTTATGATACAATAGAAACAGAGAGAAATCATACGCCTAAAATCAAATACTCCGAGAATCAACTGATTAAAAGTGCGTCCAAAGCAACAACCGCCAGCTGGAAAGGAGGAAAGGGCCATCGGAGGATTCCCCGAAAGAGGGGATGCGTTCTCGAGGCGAAGCGGAAACGGAAACGGAAACAGAAGAAAAATTAAAGCAGTAATAGAGAAATAGGGAAACGAAACCAGGTTCTTTTTAGGCTCCGAGAATTTCCTGTCCTTGCGATGGCAAGGGATGCTCGCATGCGCTGCTTCTTTTTTGCGCGCGTACGCAGGGCCGTGCAGCGCTGAATCACATCATCAAAATGATCCTACGTTTTCCATCCAGACGGAACAGCACACAAGTGTAATTGGGAAAGCGAAAACTGAGGAAAAAGCAAAAAAGTGAAGTCTTCTGGTGGAATCCGGAGCTGTTTTATGTCGTGCTTAGCGCCTTCCGGCAGCGATTTGTAGCCGAACCATATCCTCGCTCTCTGCGACGACCCAAAAGGGTTTGTTGTTGTGGGAAATGGAGCATAGTAGAGGTTCAGGGTCAGAGCATTTTGATTGAGGCCCCGGCGCGAAGCGCTTTCCGGGGCCCCGGGGTTCACTGCTGTCAGGCCCTGACGGCCGGGCGGGCTGTCAGGCGGTCAGCCAGCAAGTCAGTCAGTCAACGCCGCGTCTCAGGATGAACTCGCATGCCACGCTGAATTGACAATTGCACTTAAAAGCTATTATTATCCTTGAAGAAATTAATTCACATACATCTCTGCGGAAAAATAGCTTTCCGTGGGCCATGCCAAGGCGCCCTCGGCCTCGAAACGCATCCACAACTTACTATCACGGATCCCTTACTGGCCATAACCACCAGCAATAATGAAATATACCCCGCTCAGCTCTGCCACACTCCGCAACTCCAGCCCATCGATGCCAACCCAACTGCTCCAGCAAGACTGCCTAACCCCAAGCAAGACTGCCCATGTCTTTAGATTTGATCACACTGTACAAAGGTAACTGTCAAAGCTTGGACCAAGTTCACAAATGGTTTTAGGATCCAATGCTCGCCATTTCACCTTTGGGGTGTAATGACAAGCATTTCTAACTTGGCCATTCATACGCAAGCCGGCCCAGAAGTAGTCATAATGAAGAGCTACATAACAATTTTGTGGTTGTAACTTGCTGTATATGGAAAATACGCTAGAGAACCCATGTTCGCGCGGTAATTCGTATCCTGGTAAAAGTAACTCAAGATATAGTTATGATGTGTGGGACAGGGGGGTCATATCTTCACCCGTGGCCGCTACCTGGCGAAAAACTGCCTTCGGTATTTCGGGGCACCCTCATCCAGTCACCTTAGCCATCAGTGGATTTCAGTGGATCGCTCAGGTTCCGCAGCCACCACCGGCATCCAAGGGAATCTCCGGGGGCATCAGTACTGCTCTGCCAGTAGTACCTGACCTAGTATAACTGTGTATGCCGCTGCAAGCTGCTGGTCGATTGTGGGAAGCAGTTGCTCCTTTGCACTTGCCGCCAAGTGCCCTTTTCCCATCCATGCCAACTGCTCAAGCACTTCGCTCCTTGCCTTCTGCTCCGTCTCACGCACATCTCATACATGTCCTATTCTTCAGTTCGACTAGCAAGGGGCTGGGTTCGCGCACTACCAGGACGCTATAGACGTTCAGCCATTCTAGCAGCAAGTGTATACATCACATTCATACATCACACCAACAGCGCCGGCCGCTGCAGCCGGCCCTCGCAGCTATCCATAATTATGAGCGTATTGTCCAAACACGACACCGTTCCTCCACTTGCATCCCAGTGCCGTACAGCCTCCCCTGCGGAATACTGCGGGGCGACTGGCTGCGCCGGGGCCGAGCCCTTTTCGGCTTTGAAGAAGCTGAGTGCCCTAGTTCACCCTGACGTCCGATTTGCGCGTGCTGCTGTGCTACCATTTGAGATGGCTGTTCAAATGCGGAGCTTCGGAGAAAATAAATATATCTGCTATACAACCTATACAAACGTCTACATCTGCAAAAACCAGTCCAGGATTTTGCAACTTCCTTGGAAGAAGTTTTCGGGAAATTTGGGGCCGCTTTCCCCCATTAAAGAGTGAGTTCATAGCAGATTCATAAACGCTTTTGCTTCTGCGAAGTTGATGGGAAGGCGCAGAAGACGAATAGGTAATTTGGCCTATCTTGGTAATGCGAAGAACCGCCATACCCCTAGTTCGATACTTTCCCCTTTGTTTTAAGACTTTAAATAAGGAAGACCGCATCTATGCCGCGTCCTGAAGTTCGCCGAAAAACGGCGAAATTCTGCCCGTTTAGTGCTGAAGGCCGGCAATTGGCCTGATGCGAAACGATGTTTTTGTGATTTCCCCATTTGCGTTGGCATTTTATTGAATTGCCCTTTCGCCTGCTTGGAGCGCATAAAAATAGCACATGAACCTGAGAACCTGACATGGAGGCATTTGTGGAATCTGAAAAGCGCAATTGCTACATAGCTCCGTCTTGCCCGCCCCGCCCGCCTTTCGCCCGCTCGCCAATTCAAATTCAAATCCTATCCCCCAAACTTTTTTTCAACGTTTCTTACTTACCTTTACTTACTTTTCTCAGGGCGTTTCACCGTATGGAGATTCCGACCTGGCAGTGTTGGTTTACCCAGGTGGAGGGCCCGGAAGCGCAAGGGGGACTGTGAGCGGCCAGGCCGATCAACCTGCGTCTGTTGTTCAACAGACGCAAATTCAGCAACAGCAACAGCCGCAGCAGCCAGCGCAGGTACCGCCGTCATCAACCTCCTCAGCACATCCTAAGCCGCAGCAACGACTCCCAAATCGCCCTCACCACCACAAGCAACAGGAGGGGGGCCAGCAGGGCCCCCCGGCGCCGCCGCCACCCGCGGGTATTGACGCTGCAAAAGGTGCATCCTGGAGTGAAAACGACGGACAAGAAGGAGGGGGAGGGGATGTGGAGGACCCGGATACGATGGATGAACCGCCAACGACGTTGGCAGTGGCGGTGGCGGTGGCGGCTGCTAAGGGGGGGACGGAAGACGACAAGACCAAGACCGCGGGATCCACCGGCTCAGAGGCGACGGAACCGCGTACGGCAACCGCTGCTGCTGTAGGAGCTTCTGGTGAGGCCGCTGCAGCGGTGCCGCCGCCGCTGCCGCCGGTGCTACAGCCGCCACCTAGCCTTCTAGCTCCGGGCCGGACGCCTCAGGTACGGCACATAGCACGATGTGCACGGCACACTTGCCGTACAAAGTTGTCACCGTAAGTTTCATCTTGATGGTTAAGTTGTGTAAGATGGATCCATCAACGTGTACGGCACATTATCTTCTTCATTTTTCCACAATTTAGTCGTTCCACAAGATTGCGATATAAACTGGAAGATATGGGTTAAGTACTACGGCAGATATACAAAGATACACTTTTTTGGTGGCGCGTTTGGACATCCCGTCATGCCCCGGCGACAGCAGGGGCATGCCGCCGCTGTCACCGCCGCCGCCGCCGCCGCGAGCTCTCTCGCGGCAATCTTCATCCGTCACCCGGATTCCCCATTCCATTCACCTTTCTATAC